ATGCCCAGGAATCCCTTCAATATGTCTATTGGAATCTTTTCCAACAAATCCGAGGGCTCCAACTACAACAGAAATTGTTCATATCCTCATGTGCCACACCTTTTAGATTTCTATTTCATTGTCTTTGATAGTTTTTGAAAATACTGCCATGTTAATAAGAATACATATTCCGTTTTTGCGATCTCTAATCACGATGTCTGGGTGACTAGCGTTGATTGTTCTGTCTGTGTGTATTGTAAGGTTATTATTATTTTTGTAATTATTATTATCATTTTTTTAATTATTATTATTATTTTTATTAATATTATTATTATTATTATTGAACGAGAATATAAAATTAAAAAATTACCGCTGGGATACAAGTATGCGAAGCACAATGTACCCAACATGACCCCCAATCTTATAAGAGAGTATCCGGCACGTGCATAGGGCAACATCTGCGCGACTTGTTGATAGCTTCTGTTAAAAGCGACTCTTTTGCGCTTCATTGGTTGGTTCGTCAGTGTTCCACACTGTCGCCCCTACTTTACGCTTTGGCGTTGGACCCCATCCTTCGCCGTCTAAGGGAGAGAGCGTGCAGTCCTTCCCAACGTGGAATCGTTGTCCCTGGTGGGACTCAAGCCAGGGTTTCTCCGTACGCCGATGACGTGTCAAGTTTCATGTCGTCCCACTGTGACAATGAGGTGGTGCTGAAGGCGCTTGAACGGTACGAAAATAACACTGGGGCTAAGATCAACCGTCACAAGTCTTCCGGCTTGCTGCTAGGTACTTGGAAAGGAGTTGACCTTCCGTGGCCCTTTGGTTTGACGGGCGGGCTTGTCTACATTCTCTGAGTGTGGTTCGGGCCAGGAATACAGCTGGAGAAAATTGGTCTGAAGTACAGGAAAAGGCCGGTCCAGATTTGGCACCGAAGGTAGTTGTCCTTGAAGTGGAGGGCTGGGTGTAAGCTACTTACGTCTTTACTCTTATGCTTTACCGGTTGGCTGTATTTCATCTCTGTAAGGAACGTAAGAAGGCGATCGGGCGCTTGGTCTGTTCCCTCTTGTCGAGTGGCCGCAAGCCTCAGCTCGGCAGAGATGCCTGTGCACAACGTCCGTGTTATGGCGGAGGCTGGGAAGCCCACAGTTGATTAGTCATCGACATGCCACGAGGTTGACTTTACTATACCGCGCGTTGTCAGAGGATTCTATCGTAACGGAGAGTGTGAGGACCGCATTCACTCGCCTTGCCATCACTCCTCCGGTTTCGAGGCTTGGGCACCAGCGTCGGATTATCTCAGCCAACCTGAGTTTTCGCTTACCTGGCGATTGGTTCGAAATCTATTATGTCTCAGTGAAATAGCGTTCAAATTGGATTTGTCAGATTTACCATACTGTCAACGATGCGACCAAAAAGGTGCTAATTCATTACGCATGCGCGTGTGACAATGTGTCTCCCCGTATTCTGGGGTGAAAAGAATGGTGTTTCTGACGCTGCTGGCAATGAATAAGATTAATGATTTGAATACAGGAAATCTTACGATCCATCAGGATCTAATCAAACTTCTTTTAACATCAGCTCGGAATGAAGATTAGAATTGACAGAAATCAGTTGTTATCGACAGATTTCAACGAAAGGTGGATAACTGTAGTGAGCCTTGTTTGCCTGAACGGGGCTAACCTTGATTTTCTTTTTTAAGTCCCTTTAAATCACAACCTGGTGATTTCCTGAGAAGCCCTACACCTGGTTAACACATATTCCTCCAAGTGTACATAGTTAATGTAAGTGTTTTGTTCCGGATTCTGCTTTTGTTATTATCCAAGTTGAGTCTTTGAATTTTCTAATGCCCATAATTTTTTATCTTTTACCTCTTTCTAAGCGAGAGAGCCTCTTGATTTTATTGGAAGACAGAATACAGCAGTCACTCTTATTTTTGTGAGGTGGACGGGTCCTATTAACATCATTCCTTCTTTTTCGAGGTCATCATCCCTCACATCATTTCATTGATAAAGTTATATATATATATATATATATATATATATATATATATATATATATATTGTGTGTGAGTGTGTATTTAGGCAGCATCTTTTCATTCATACCTGTTGCATTAAATAATATAGACAAGTGTTGTTTATTTATTTTATGCAAATTCTTTTCATAACGTCTGATAAGTTTAATAACATTATAATTGAACGAAGAAAGATATTCACAATATTGATCCATATTTTTTAATACAATCTAAGCTTTCGGCTTACATAAGCCATTATCAAAGATGTCAATTTGTTATACCTGACGTACATATTCTATTATTAATAGACACTCCCGCGCATAATAAGTAGTAGTAGTAGTAGTAGCGGTCGCCAGTTCGGCTCAGTTGTGTTGAGCGATTCAGTCGATATCGGACATTGAAGTACCAACCATCACAACTAGATTTCTGCGTCATTAACTCTTATTTCCAAGTTCCTAACCTAATTTCCTATGTTGAACCTAATTTAGGACGACTTATTGAAATACAAACTTCCACTGTGAAAACTACTCTACAACACAATTATAACATATTAAGCAATATACGGACAAGACAGTGATGATAGTCTGTGATTGTTTACATAGTTGATTTCTAAGCAACGATAAACACGTTCATCTAAGACGCTAGAAGCGAAAATCGCACCGCATCTCATGACGTCACACATGACAATGCGAGAGTGAATTGGAGAAGTATGAAGTATGGGAATCCGTTCGTATAAACCAATGGCTTCTGCTACCAATTATAGACATTTAAGGATATTTGTAGAGATTCCATAGTTGATTTTGTTTAGGTTTGGTTTCAACTGTTTGATGTATAATGCTTCAGGGATTTTTAGTTTTTGTCTATTGTTTTCATGTCGAAGTATAAGTGTGTTTCGACAAGTATTTTACGGAATTGTGTGTGCGGGCAGGCATGTTGTTTTAAATGCCTAAAAATGTTAGAGTTTTCATTTAAATGTAGTGTCAAGCGTCGTGAAAGCGAGTTTGTGGTGTGATATATGTATATTATGTACATATTGTTATTTTAAGTAATGAGGTGTTTCTTCCCAGTAGGTCCCCAGTGTTTGTGTGAGATATTTTGGTGTATGAAGTATCGAATGTTTGACGGATAAATTCTTAAGGTGAATGTATATACTGTAACGAATAAATTAGCTAGGTATAAGAAAGCTAGTGTTGACCAACCTTGACCAGTCTCCCTTATTTTACGGTCTTGTGCCACAATTACTGTATCAGTGATAAATCTTAAACATGCAAAGTTTGTTCGTATAATTTTTTGTGGATTTATATATTTTTATGCTTGTAATTTTTTCAAATATAACTTGAAGGAGACAGACATTCTGTCGAAATATTGTTTAACATTGTCCAACAGTGTCCATCCCGGGTATCACATAATCTACATCTGCGTCCTGGATAAGGCGATAAACTCCGTCCCACAGCAATTGCCTGTGATCAGGATGTTTTGAGGAGCGTGGAATCACCTCTTAATTGCAGGTGTTCCCAGGTTCACCCTGAAACTGGGTGGTAACACCTGTTAGGGTCCAAACTATAGCAAATAGTTAACCACAAAACTGGGTTCAAAATACTATGAAAGTGTAAAAATTGGTTTTAGTACCAACAATATTTTTTTGAGGAATAATTATTACAAGCAATATATTATTATCGGCAATACATTTTTGAAGGAAAAATATTACCAGCATTAAAAATCTTGTCAGCATTAAATAATACATTGAGGTTGATATGCCGTAAAACAAACCAAACCAAAAATATTACCAGCAATGAAAATCTTGTCGGCATTAAATAACCCATTGAGATTGATATGCCATAAAACAAACCAAACCAAAAATATTACCAGCAATAAAATTCTTGTCGGTATCAAATTACACATTGTGGTTAATATGTCGTAAAACAAAACAAACCAAAAATATTACCAGCAATAAAAATTTTGTCCGCATTAAATAACCCATTGAGATTGATATGCCGTAAAACAAAACAAACCAACCAATCAAACACTGTGTTTTTCTTTTCTTTTTCCTTGATTAAATCTCAATTTTTTATTAACTTTTTATTATTATTATTATTATTATTATTATTATTAACAGAATAACTGGGAAAGATTCTTCGTGCATTCTCGGTTAAAGTTAAATTATAAAATGCATTAAAAAGGAACTAAAATACAAACAAGCATTTGTATGATCAATATTCGACACCATATGCGATGTAGCTGAACACAGGTACGTTACTGTCTAGTTTTTTCAACACTTCGACGATATCTTCACAAGCTACAAACGACGCATGTACCTCACTTCAAACCCTGATGTGGAAATATCATCTAAATAAGATCAGAAGCTTAACCATGTCGAATTTTGAAAGAGAGTCATGTAAAATTCGAAATATCGGCACGACACTTAAAGCGCCATCTATTGGAAGCTTCAAGAGAAATTAGAAAAACCGTAGAAATTCCAACTATTTCAACGTATCATTTCATTTTTTTCATTCAGTTTTAGTTGCATTCAAAACAGGGATGAACATGTAACTCTTATGAACAAAGTGTTGAATTAAAATGTCGCTCTGATAATTAGGTACTTTTTCTTCTTTCTATTTCTTTATTTCTTTTTCTATTTCCTTCTTCCATTCTTTTTGCTATTCTTTCATTTTTCTATTTGTTTTCTTTTTTTTACTTTTTTCCATTTTTTGTTTTACTTTTCTCCTTTTTTTACTTTCTTCATTTTTTTTACGTTTTCTAAATTGATTTTATTCTTTTCCTTACAAATAGTAACCCTTTCTTTATTTCAATTTTCTCAGTTTTGTTTTTTTTATTTTATTCTTTTTCTTTTAACTTTTCTTTCTTTGTCATTTTTTTTTGTTTTTTTATTTCTTTCATTTTTAATCCTTTTTGTTTTCCTTTTTGCTAAACTGATCTTTATATCCTCCATTTTAAACAGTATTCAATTTTTTTTTTATGTTTCGTCCTTAAACGTTTATTATTTCTTTAGTCATTCATTCTTTTCGTTCTTTTCTTTTCTTTCTTTCATTTTCGTTCTCTTTTCTTCCTTTTAAATTGATCTTTATCTCCTATTTTGCAATTAGTATTTTTATTTCTTTTTATCTTTCTTCTTTCTTTCTTTCGTTTCTTTTCCTTTTCTCGCTTTCCTGTTTTCTTTTTAGTCTTATTTTTTTCTTCCTTTCTTTCATTTTTTATTCATTCTTCTAAACAAATTTTATCTCCTTCCTTGCAAATAATAGCTGGCATATTTTTTTCTTCCGTGTACGTTCTTCGTTCTTTCTTTCTTTCTTTCTTTCTTTCTTTCTTTCTTTCTTTCTTTCTTTCTTTTGTTTTTCTTTCTTTTGCATTTCTTTCTTTTTTCTTTCTTTCTTTCTTTCTTTCTTTCTTTCTTTCTTTCTTTTGTATTTCTTTCTTTTTTCTTTCTTTACGCTCTTTTTTATGATATTTTCCCTCTCCAATTTCTTCCTTTTTCTTTTTTTCATTTTTTCTTTTTCTTTCTTTCTTTCTTTCTTTCTTTCTTTTAAACTGATTTTCATCTCCACCATTACAAATAGTATCTTGCTATGTTTTTTACCTTACTTCTTTTTTTTCTTTTGTTATTTTTTTTATTAGATAATTTTCATTTTCTTTCACTTTTCTTCGTTTTATTTTTGAAAATCGTATCTTGCTTTGAAGAAAATGATACAATTGCCAAATAATTCCTGTGTCTTGAGGGCTAAAAACCGTTTTGTATCATTGCCAAAGATATCCGCGAAGAACTATGCAATCTCTTCAGGAAAAAAATGTCATTTGCCGGCGTCGAAAACCGCTCCATTTACTCAGCACATAAAATGACTATAGACATACAAGCATAAGTATTTATAAGAGTTACCACATGGCTGAAGTGGTTGCCTTTGTTCCATTGATGGTAGATAGTACTGGTTGAACTCAGGTAACAAATACATAGACAGGATATTGAAATCTCATTTTAAGACAGCCAGGTGATACTAATTAGTGTCTTCGAAAGTAATACTGTCTTGCCAGAAAAGAATTTTAAAACAAATTTTAAAAACTCGTCCTATAAACAAAGTTGTAATAGAAGTTATCTTGCCTCTCTAAAGATTTCTGTGTATGCAACATTTTCAATAAGACATCTATTTTCGAATGTTCTTTTTTTTATACATTATGCTAAGCTCAGTTGAATTTCTTACTCCGGAGATAGCGACATAGTACTGACCATGAGAGAAACATTTTGAATAATTTGTAAATGTTTATATTAATAATAATGCAACAGATTTGTCAGCTACTGGAAAACTTAATAACAACACAAAAGAAAGATTAAACAAGAAACAAAAACAGCCTACGTAGAAGACAGAATTAAAGCGAGAAATTGATGAAATCAGATGTGAATTATCGAGACGAGAGATTTCAAGAAATTCAAGTATTTCAACACGTAAAAGCAGGAAGAACAGTGGAAATATAAACTAAAAATACTAAATAAAATTCCACCAAGTAAGGAAATACTTAAACAGAAATTGCAATTAAAGGCACAGAGGAAAAGACGATATGAAAAGCCGTGTTGTTCTATCGACACAATATGATGTTTGAAACAGACCTCAAGAAGTTTTACAGGGAATTTTGATAAGACATTGTAGAAGCAAAAATATCACCAGCTATTGAAGAAATGCAAGCATTTTGATAGAATATTTGGATTATCCCGAAGGAATATAATCCCAAAGGGATCAAAAGGGAATAAGAAAGAATGAAAGGAAAGAATGGGAAAATATAATTGATGCTAATGTTAAGCAAATCCTAATAAAAATCCCAAAATAGAAATTACGAGTTAAAGGCTGGGTAGCCAATCTGTCATAATTCAATGAAAAGCCTTCCTCAAATTTTTTCACTGCTATTGAATAATCCCAATGAAATTCCATAATGAATCATTGAAGGTATTACATATCCCCTGGAAAAAAATTGAGTGAAACAGATGATACAAAAAATGATAGGCCAATGTCTGTCCACCACAACCAAATTGATCACGTCTTACCTGACGATCTATAATTACTCTTTCCTTACTCTGAAAACAATATTCTTCTCCTGGAACAGAAGGGATGTCGAAGAGGTTCTTATGGCTGCAAACATTAACTATAGATAAATAAAATGGTCCTGGACAATTGCAGGAAAAAGATAGCAATTTCAACACAGCTTGGATAGATTACTTTAAAACCTTTGATAGTTTACCACACACATTTTTATCCTTAAGGCTTTGAAAATGTACAGTCTCCTTGGTGATAGTAAATTAACTTAAATATAACTTGGATCTGTGTAAAACAACATCCTTTCTAAATCCCACCACTGACCCTGCCTATCGCCTGAAGATCCGATGAGAATTCTTTCAAGAAAACTCTTTGTCACCCTTCTGACCTGTCTGCCCTTATTCCACCTTTCGCATGAACTAAATAGTTATAACTAAAGATACAAAGTAAACAAGAAAATATTTAATTCCTTATATTACATGAATGTTTCAGTGATAACATCGGTATGGATCTCTGGTTAGATAAATGTGCAAAGAGAAAATTGCAGAAACACATTTAATAGATCTCCATTTTGGCACAAAGATTAGACAACTGGAACAAGAAGTCTATACATACCTAGGAATCAGCGAAGGAGATGGAATAAAACGTACTCAAATGAAAGACAAATTAAGAACAGCGTACTACAGGCGTATGCATCTGGTATTAAATACGGAGTTGAATTCACAAAACAGAATAAACGTATTGGCTGCTCCTGTGGGGCAATACAGTTTCAGCATCCTTACCTGGATATTAATTAAGCGAATGGACGTCAAAAGAAGAAACATTCTGACTTGCCACCGCATGCATCATCCTAACACTAATATATGTGTCCAGATCGAGAGAGATGATTAGTTCGACTTAAACTGTCTCACAAAACTTTAACAATCTCTCTTCAAAGATTACTGAAAACTACAGAAGACTGGATGATGATCTGATGAACATTACGCCTAATGATATAAGTCGATTTGTTAATAATAAAAGACGCATGATTTTTTAACGTATTAAAGTCACGTGTTTGTGTTTTAAGGCTTGAGCAGACGTTGCACACGATGTTCGGAAAATAACGTTCACAATGCATATTGTAATTGTATCATAATCTATTATAATGGTTGCACAAGAAAACAGGATGCGAGGGATAAATTGTCGTCGAAATTACGCCAAAATGAAAATAACACTGACATTTCATTTTAATAAATATAATTTAACAAATTTACACAAAAGTTTCTTGAAATACTAGAGAGTGAATTTATCAAATAAAATAGCCATTGGCTTCTGCATCTCTTCAGGGCGCTCTCCTTGTTTAAGTTAGTGAATGTTGCTATAAACCTTGACTTCAATTCATCTTTGCTGTTACAAGTATTTTTGTTGGTCTCCTCCTGCTGAATTGCGCCAACAAATAATAATCAAGCGGATTGCAGACTGACTGGGTTAGATGGCCAGATATAAGGAGTGATGTGATCGCAAAAAATGTCTCACAGCCATGACTCTATTCTCCTGCTTGTGGAACATGCTGCAGAGTCCTGTTGCCAGACATAGGGTCTTCCAGCCGCTGTCCTCTGAGCAACATTACCTCTACAAATTACTTGATGAAGACTTCCGTGTTGGGTCTCAGGCACTGTGGGAAGATGAATGGAGGTATAACATTGCCATTACTAGTGATCACTCTAAACAACTTTGTAATAAACATTAGGCTTATCCAAATGTTTTCGAATCCTCTGCACTGTCCTCAGATTGTCACCTAAACACTCACAAAATGTTCGTATTGGAGCTTCCGGTGGGAATGCCAAGCATACAGTAGGCCGTTTCCAAATTTCTCTTGGAGTGAATAGCATGATGGTGCTCTTTTTCTCACCGATGGTGGCCAACTGACCTAACTATACTCTGCAGTGAACAAAATGAAAACAAACAACACGCATGCGCGAAATTAAAAATATAAAATGGCGATAATTTACCCATCGCACCCTGTATATTGCTCGTTCTTAATGATTAAAGTGTCATCTTTGTTAATTTTATATGAATCTCTTTCAGAACTTTAACTGAAAACATTATATTGCTCTCAACTTCAAGTTTCTCAAACAGCTACCAACATTAACAAAGCATGGGGTGAAGAATCTATTTGTGATTGGACAATAGGGCGTTGGTTTCTCATGTTTAACGGTGGGGACTTTTACAAACTAATATAAATTATGAGATATACATAATAAAATCAAATTATTCCATGACGGATTATCATCTTCTGTGTCTTATGCAGGAGTTTAATTGCATTCCTCTGTTTTGTGGGATCTTTTCTTCTTTTATGGCATGTCACGAAGAACATAACTTTTCATAGATTTCTTTGGAATTGCTATAAATTCTCGAAGAAGTTAGTGGAATGGTTTTATCTTCATGGTTTTGAGTTATCTACATGTATGTTATTGCATTTGGTTCCTTTATTTAAAAAAAAAAAGATATTTCATATATTACGAAACGTATTCTTAGATTGCGGAAAGTTTATTTTATAAGAAGGTTCTCGAAATTATGGATATCGATGTCATCAAGAAAAATATTTCATTACAATTACACTGGCTTCGGAAGGGACACTGGAAACGTTGTTTTCTATTAGTAGATTCGCCTGGGATATGGCATGGAATGCTTAAATGATCAGTGGCCATCTCTTCAAATGACCAGTGGCCATCCCTAGGAAGTGATTAAATAGATCTCTCATTTCTTCCATGTCGTACCTCCGATGAGGTTTGAAATATTTCCGTATGGGGATAGTCAACAGACATGTATGAACCGATATAGTTCCCTATGAGATCTATCCATTGGGTAGAGTCAGAAATCGGAACGGAAGACGGCTTGTAATCGATGAGAATAGAAATTCCCTAATAACGTAGATAGATGCTGCTCTGGGGTCAACATACAATATTCTACTGAAGAATTATGCAATTTACCTTGTGTTGCCTGATATATACACACACACACACGCACACACACACACACACACACACACATATATATATGTGTATATATGTGTGTGTGTGCGCGCGCGCGTTTATGCGTTATTTTTATGGATATACCTAAATACTGGGCACCTCAAGTTGGTATAATGCTTAGCAAGCTTGTCTCGCTAGAACAATTGCGAATCTGTAGTGAGTTCGATCCCCACTGGGTACCCCTTACTTTCGGCCTTGTGCCACATCCAAGCTACGCTTGGTAAATCACTATACCTAAATAAGTATATTCCTAAAAATAACGTATAAACAGAAAATATATTAAATAATTGTCGAATTTAGTATATTTCCTATTTTATATATATATATATATATATATATATATATATATATATAGGAAAAACTAGGTAATCCGTATGGGTAGACCCAAGGAAGATAAAATCCAGAGAGCTCAA